GGGCACTTTGGCTCTTCTGCATCCATTCTGGCCTGAGCCCCATGGCAGGTACTAGTTGCCAGCACAGGGACCAAAGCACAGCATTTAAATGCTCCCTTTCATCAGGGGCAAGGGCAGTTCACAGAAATAAAGAACTAAGAAGGCAGAGCTGGTTTGGGGATTAGGGCAAACAGGCAGAAGAGCTTCCTATCTCTCTGGCTGCAGTACCTCAATGCAAACAAAACTTTCCTTGTGTTCCCTTCATCAGTAACTTTTGTTATTCAACACTTATCTTGAGTTAACCTCTCCCAAAAGCCACTGGTGACTGACTTTCTGCTCCTCTATCCTTCAAGCTCTCTGTTTTAATTTGTTTGCATACTAAAGCTAGTAGCTGATAAGAAAAAGCAAATTTCTGCATCTGTCTTTTGGCTCCCTGGGGCAGGTGACTGCCCTCACTTCCTGTCTGGCAGCTGCAGATAATACTCCAGAAAGTGTTTTCTGCACTTCCAGAGTAGCAGAGAGATGATAGCTTTGCTCAGTCTCCCAGCAGTTTTACCGTAAGTAGGAGCAGATGCTCCTTGCATTGAGGGAAACTGTGGGAACAGCAGGGATGTGGCTGCAGTGCCCTAAAACAGGCTCTTGCAGGACGGAGTCCCTTGTGCTCCCCTTGAAGCACACTTGCTGCAGATGTCTGGCTCCCAAACATCTGCATTTATTTCCTTGCCACATCCTTGACATTAACATCTCCTTCTCCCCCGCCTGTTAAAAAGCAACGGCCTCTTGAAAGCACCGTCTTCCTTAATTCACCAGTAGAAACAGTTGAAGGTGACTTTTCTGGAGTGAAGAATTTCTCCTTGAATTGCTGTGCTTTTCTTGGATGGGTATTCAGTTATGTGTCTATATTTTGTTGAAACAGAACATCAGTAATCACTTTATGTTCTTAAAGTAAAGGCTATACATAATGAAGCTTTGATGAAACTTTCATGTACAATTATGGATGATAAGTGAAATAATTTGTAGACCTGACTTTTTTTTTCCAGATACTTAAGCTATGCTATAGTGTTTTGTTGGTTGATTAACATTTAGATAGAGGTGTAAGTATGTGGAGCATTATGAAAGTGAATTTTGTCGCTAATAATAAATCAGCAGCTGTAACCAGGGTTACATATTTTGGGTGAATACCAGCCCCATTGAAGTCAGGAAGAATTTTACCATTAACTTCAACAAAATCAGAGTTTCATCCTCCCATTGTAAAGGACCTTTAACAGCCACTTATAATCTTGTCAAAAACTCTGTTTGAGTGAAACTAATCCCATAGGGCTTTTATTAAGACAGAATGATGGTGGAGGAGGGAAGCTTTTAAATGCTTCTGTTGGAAAGAACTGCACTTTGAGCAGTGCTTGTGCTGTGACAGAAAAATTCTGGTTTGGAGACTGTCTCTAGCTCATGTAACTGTGCGGCACTGAGCACAGCAAGATCGTTCTGGACTGACCGTACTAAAAGGATCAGGCAAAGGCTGTTTGACATATGGATGCCAGGGCCTCCTTTCTCTTCTTTCAATTAATGCAAACTGGGACCAATTTTGTTATAATCAGCTGTGTAAACTAGGGTGTGCAAAGGGTACCTAAGCTTTAACACAATGTTAAAAGCCAAAGTGTGCAAATATCACCTCAGGTGATATTTGGAGGAGCAGACCCAGCTGACAGTTTCTTTGTGACTCCTGGAGCTATGATGTGAATATATACTTTGTACTGTGCACCTAGGAGCAAATCTGTATGCAGTGACCCATGCTTCCACCCCCCAGAGTGGAAGGGATGGCTGCTGTGCTGCTTTTTTTATTTTTTTGCATGCAGTAGAAAATCCAGTCCCTTTGAACCAGAAGTCAATTTAATGGCTCTGTTTTTCAGGTCCTCACTCAGTAATGAAAAACAGCAACTGTTGGGCACAGAGCACTCAGCAGAAATTCAGGGTGGTGACATTTATGCAGCATATCCGAACCCACAGTCAAATTTTCTGTTGTGTTGCCCATTACAAGATGCTTCACAAGCCTGGGTAAGGCAGGCTTAAAAAGAGGTAGCTAGGAGAGTGTTCACTAAGCATTTTAAATTTACATAAGAGGCTCAGCTACATAATTTTTAAGAATTGTGTGTAATAAATAGGTATAGCCAGTTTATTTGTGCAAGATGGCTAAACTAGGAGTGGCCGTAGGATGGAGGTACGGGGAAAGGAAAGAAGCATGTTGATATCATTGATAACAAGCAAAAGGAACTTCATCCAAAGAATTCATGTTAATGAAAGGAAAGGCTGTACCCACATTCGTACCCCAAGTTTAGCACATCTGCAGCTGCTAAAGTTGGTTCTCCCTACCCCTGGGCTAGACCCAGAAGACTAGACCAGACACCATCCTTTTATGGGATGTGCTGACTTTTGCTGGATTAGGAATTCAGAGGGGGCACAGGAGTAGTCCTGGCATCACCAGGGTCTTTGAGGCTTCTGAGGCAAGTAGTAGCAGCCAGGTGCCCTCCAGCCTCATTTAAGAGAGCCAAAAATGACTTCTGGAGGGACTTAATTAATTTCTATTAGGTCACAGTCTCTATGCACCTCTCTTTCAATTCTCCTCCACATTTACAGTTGAGGAACGTCTACAGCCTTCCTCATTATACACAATGGTTATATTTTATATAATATAGAGGTACAGGCAGCAGGATACAATTCATAGGACAATCAGATGAAGCAGAAGGTCATATTCATAATTCTGCACTAAGTCTTCCTTCACTTTGTGATTCCACAGCTGCTGTCTTGGTAAGATGGATATAGGGATCTCCTCCTTGGATGTTTGCAGATGACAAACATGTGTATTAAAATGTTGTCAGGCTGCAGCCTTTGAAACAACATACTTGAACTGTTGGTAGACAAAGAGACAGGAGATTGACTGCAGTAAAACAAGCTAGCTTTCTTATGGCACTTAGAGCAAGGTTTCTGAATTTATCACGAAAATTAAATTTGGACTACTTAGTACAGAAAATATAACAATGCATCGGAGGGATGGCAGCCTTGCTTTCAGGTACCCATTAAAGTGATTTTTATGAAAGGGATGCAAGTTCTGGGCAGGATGCTACTGGAACCAGCTTGTTAAATTCATCCATGTAGCACTGTCAGTGACTGTGGCTTTGCTGGCTTTGGTGCCCAAAGGCAGTCTCCACTGCAGACAGCTCTGCATTTTAGTGATTTTAAATTCTTTTTTACAAAAATAATGTCCAACTACAGGTTTGCCTAAGGGCAGCTATCTCAGTCCTCAGAAATTTCTTTTGTATATTGGAAACTTCCTGTCTGTTCTTACCAAATGATACATTATCTCTCTTCTGAACTAGATTTTTTTTCTTTTGCTTTATGTATTGTATTATCTTTACATTTTCTATTACTGTTTGCGGTTTGCCTTTTTTCCCACCCTGTTTCCCAGCTCATCCTCATGATACAATCTCTGGCCAACTATACTATTGCCTTTCTCTGTGCTTATTTTGCCATTTCCAGCTATTGGTAAAGCTCCAGAATTCTTGTACTTTGGCAGACAGTGGAGCTGTTTCCCCCAATTTATTGTCCATGTAGCTGGAGTGCCCCGGCAAGGCATCATTGTGTTGTCTTGAATTAGACTGGCTGAACGCTGTGCCATCTGTACACGGACAGATTGTTACCCTTTACAATCCCTTTGGATAGAAGTTCTTCTAGCGACAATACTCACTTTGGTGTGCTAATGTGAAGCAGTGAGTATATATAGCTGGGGAGTCTGGTTATGTGCGGCTGTTGTGATAGGAAAGGTACTTTTGCATTCTGGTAGTAGGGTGTTGCGGATTCCTTTGCAGATTTTTTCTCCCCAGGCAGCCGTTTGGTCAAGAACCATGCTGCCCTTCAGCAGAGCCCTGCATCACCCCAGCACCCTGCAGCCTGTGAGGTTCTGGGTGTCTCTGGTCTGTTGCCTCTGAGGCAGAATAACAGCATCAAACAAGAAAGCCAGAAGGGTACTCAAAGTAAAGTGAGGTTTGCATCCTCACTATGCTGAGCAAACCATCTCTATTGTGCAAATACCAAAATAGCCTAAACAAAACCAGACTCTGATTGTGCTATGTGCTGCATGCACACAGAAAAGTAAGCTTTGGGTCTCGTGATATATTTGATGTCAATATAATTGATACTGAACTGCTCACAAATTTATCTCAGACATCTTCTTGTGTTCAGCTTGATATGTCAATCATACAGAACATCCATAGGATATGTCTATTTTTTTCTAAGAGTTTTTCTTCCCCTACCTGTATGTTCACTATAGCTCAAGAATTTCCATGTAGTGGCAGGGCAGTCCAGATTAGAATATACAATACACTGGGAAAAATGACCCTGTTGTTTTTTCCTGACAAGATGCCCAGGTAAATCACAGTTGAACTGCCCTGATACAATGTCATTTCCACAAAAACAAACTGCAGTTCTATATAAAGCCATATACATATAACTGACTTTATATATAATTTTTTATATACATGCAAATATTTATTTTGTATACTTTATTTAGAAATATTTAGTTTTATGTATTTAAAGAGTTACATTTGTATGTAAAGTCAGTGCTTCTTTTTGTCTGTAACAGTGCTATACTCAGGAGTCAAATCCTCAGTCCAGTTGCAGTATCTACAGAAAACAGATAAGAATAAGGTGCATGGCAGAAGCTCCAGCACAGGACTTCCTTCATGTACTAATAAGAAGGAATGATCTTACTGGAACAGCTTACATAAATAAAATCAGTTTACGTGTCTCAGCTTTACTAGATAAGGCCTACAGCACGCACACACAGGGGTCCACCTGGCTTATCTCGCATTCAGTTTAACCAGGAATTACTGTGATGTCAGCAAGAGTGAGAAGCCTTCAGGAAAAGCTTGCTTGTGTCAGCACTCATGTATGGTGGTGAGAGGCCTAAAGGGAATATGCCAAAAACAACAACAAAAAAAATTATGTGTTTTCCTTTTACTCCCTCACAGATTGACCATCTCTGCTGAATGCCCCATGCAGCTTGAAGATTTCCCCATGGATGCACATGCTTGCCCGTTAAAATTCGGAAGCTGTAAGTTCTCTTCTGAAATAAGAACTGGAAAGTATCCATTTTTATCTGGCTTTTCAGGTTCAGCCATTATCTTGTACAAATCGTCCGCCCTTTCCCCAACCCTTCCCTTTTCACGTTGCTCATTAGCACCCCCAATCTGCCCCCCCTACTGCTACCCTGCTCCTCATTTTCCACGGCTGTGCTTTATCTGGCACGACTGCTTTTCAGCTCATGCCTGCATGCTCTGTGGTAAATAGTGAGCTGATGGGGGATATCCACATAAAGTGTCACAGCTACTGTTAGATGGAGCAGTAGATGTAGGCAGCTAAGTTGATAACTTGTTGTTACATTTGTAGAAAAATGGGTCTTTCACTGGACAGTATCAGATCAATGTGCTGTTGTGGTATTTACCTGAATCAGACTGCAGTGCAATCTCTCTACATTGCAAATATTAAATGACATCTAGAATATTAAACGAGGAAATATCTATCCATTTGTCTTTAATAAATCCTGTCCTGTATCTTGTAACATGATGTTGTATACATATGTATTTGTGTATATGCACACATTTCTAAACTGTATGCTCAGCAATGATTTCTCCTCAGTTCCAAGACTCTAATCCACCACAATGCTGCCTTGCCAAAAGCTTACTTTAAAAATAACCTCAGGGGATCAGATGGTTATATTTAAATACAAAGCTCTTAATTAAAGTACAGATGAGGCTACTACAGTAGACATTTTTTATGTCGTTAATCAAATCAGAGGTTCCAGGTGCAATCAGTGTCTCTAAAGACTTTTGAAAATTACCAGGCAAGGCATTTTCCTAGTCCCTGAAGCCACCTAACTTCAGCATTTTTTCAGCCATGTCAATTTAGAGTCACTAATCCTAGCAAGATTAAGCTTTGCCTTTATTATCATAAAATCATAGAATCACAGAAGGGTGTGGGTTGGAAGGGACCTTAAAGATCATCTAGTTCCCCCCCCTGCCATGGGCAGGGACACCTTCCACTAGACCAGGTTGCTCAAAGCCTCATCCAGCCTGGCCTTGAACACTTCCAGGGCTGGGGCATCCACAGCTTCTCTGGGCAACCTGTGCCAGTGCCTCACCACCCTCTCCGGGAAGAACTTCTTCCTGATATCCAATCTAAACCTCTACACTTTCAATTTAAACCCGTTACCCCTTATCCTGTCACTAAAGGCCCTTGTAAAAGGCCCTTTGAAAAAGTCCAGCGTCCTTGTCGGCCCCTTCAGGTACTGGAAGGTGCTATAAGGTCTCCCCGGAGCCTTCTCTTCTCCAGGCTGAACAAGCCCAACTCTCTCAGCCTGTCCCCATAGCAGAGGTGCTCCAGCCCCTCGATCATCTTCGTGGCCTCCTCTGGACTCGCTCCAAGTGGTCAATATCCTTCTGATGTTGAGGGCTCCACAGCTGGACGCAGCACTCCAGGTGGGGTCTCATGAGAGCAGAGCAGATGGGGAGAATCCCCTCCCTCGTCCTGCTGGCCACATTTCTGATACAGCCCAGGATGTGGTTGGCTTTCTGGGCTGCCAGCGCACACTGCCGGCTCATGTCCAGCTTTTTGTCCCCCAGTACCCCCAAGCCCTTCTCCTCAGGGCTGCAATAGTCAGTGGACTGTACAAGGTTTGGTAGTCTCTAGATGATATCCCTGATACGAGCCCCAAGGTAAAGAGCACACTTCTCTAGAGTGTGCATCAGGTCAGAAAATGTGTCCCTCCGTGCCTCTCAGACAAGAGTCGCCCACTGCTGTCACCTGTCGCCTTTTGTTAGTTGTGCTGGTGGTTATATGGGGAGCAGATGGAACTGCCTCACCCAGCTCCAGTGTCTCTCCTGACATGGTAGGTCTTTCCTTTTCAGCCTGCAGAGCTGTGAGCAGCTCTGTGAGGGCACCTCAGGCTTTGGAGGAGGTCCCTTCCTCTTGCTGGTCCTTGACATTGCAACTGTCCATCCTTCTCTATTATTTGCCCCCCTCCCTTCTGTGTGTGCCGGTGCGGGGGGGTTGTGGCTGTTTGGCTATGGGCTGTGAGTCCCCTGCAGACTGTACTTGGAACCCACATCTTACTTCCTCTCAGCCTCCCTGACTTAACACAGCCTTCTCATGGCCTCCTGCAGCTCAACCACTGCTGCAGGAGGTGTTCCCCCAGGGCACACCTTCTGCAGGCAGGGATGTTCTCTGTCCCTACCCCAGTCCTGGGCACATCCTGCAGCCTGAGGCCTGCACTGCAGCCTCTCCAGCAGCTCCGTCCAGATGGAGGCATCGGACACTGCTGGGGCAGACGGTGCCGACCCCCCAGCTGGAGCTGCAGTCTTTGCCCTGACACATGCCCACCACTCTGCTGTGAGGGTCAGATGGGATGAGAGCCCTTGACCCGCACAGATGGTCACAGAATGGGCCCAGTTGCTGGCTTATGTGTAGTTCAAGCCTCCCACTGGGCTATGGAAGGGGCACCCTCCTGCGTGAACAGCCTCTCCTCGCCCTGGCTGAGGTGTGACGCGCTGTGTGCCTGCACTGTTGGTGGCACTCCTGCTGGCCGCACTCCCCAGGGCTGCCTTTTGTGGGAGCTGGAGTGGGTCCTGTTACCCCTGGCCCAACCCAGGGCACCTCAACAGCTCAGATGAGAGATGACGGCTCCTGGCGGGTCTCTGCACTCCCCTTGGGGGTTACCTGGCTCAGGAACCCCACCGGTGCCACCACCCCTAACACCAGAGCTAATCATCTCTGCGAGTGACATCATCTGTACCTGCCCTGGTTTAATACTGGCTGTGCATTGTCTTCCAGTGATCATACAAAAAAGTAAAACCACTGTTTACAGTAACCATTACCAAATTACCAAACATAAGATAAAATGATTTCCCTTCCCTCTTCCAATCTAAGTAGACTCAGTTTCATCTGAATAGCCACCAGTATTTTACAAGGTCACTGCAGGTTCAAATGTGTCTGTGTATTTCAGCAACATTAATTTAGAGCAAAGCCAATGGAAATCTGAAGGTCTGTATACCTTTACACTCAAAGGATTTTATGCAAACAATCCATTTTGTTCTAAACTTAAAAACGGGAAGAGAAACCATCTCACAGGGACATGTCATTATTTGTATATAAGGTTAAACAAAAGCTACTGGAAAGAATTAAGATGAAAAAATAAAATAAGTTGTCCTTCCTGTTATTACATATTCTTTACTGAATTGATAGATAAAGTTGAAGTCACACCTCTTGGTCTCTAGTGCTGATTATAGAACTGGGATGTTGGGTGGTTTAATGAAATCTTGCAAAATATACAATATAAAGCTAAAAGATACATATTTAAGTGAAGAGTTTGATGCAGCAGAAATCTGAAGCTCAACCTTAATGGATGCTTCAATGCATTAGTAGATCAGGTACAATAAGGTACATGTTCTAACTCTTGCTGTAGTAAGAAAAAAAAACCCCAAAACCATGCAATTTCAGGAGAGAACATTGCTAGATAATCTACAAATGCTTAGAAGGACTACAATCTTTGATACCATTGGAAAAAAAATAAAACCCCGACCACCCAATCTGTCTGAATGCAATGGCACGTTCTGCTTGTGTTAAATGTGTTACATCTTAATCACCTATTAGCACACAGGTACTTTTAACCTGGGGAAAAAAAAAAAACCCAGCACTGAAATGTCATATTTTAGGCATGTGAGGGCTGAATATGGACTATGTACATGCTCCTTGCCATGATCAGTATACAGTTCTGAAGTATATTTTATAAGTTATTAGAAGGCGCCTTGAAGTTCTTCCACAGTGTATAGACATGAAGCCATGTGGTCTGTGGCGCTCCACACCGATAGCCTCTGCAGTAAGACAATGTATAGGGACAAGCTATAGGTGGTCTTTCAGCCTTGAGAATATCTGTATTACTGATCTAAATGCTCATTAGTAATTTATTGGGATTTAATATGCAGATGTTTGCACAAGTAGCAGCCAGTAAGTAGCCCAGATGTATTTTAGAAGAACACAATATTTATTCCCTATTTACAGCAGTACGGGTTTGCATTAAGTCATCTTCAGGCTTGCATCAAGACAAAGCCTGCAGGGGTATATTATACACAAGCACATGCCCTTTCTGCTTTAGCTTTCCTCCCTGTCTTTCCCCAAAGGGTTTCTTTTTAATGGTCTCCTTTCCAAGAAAGATTTTGCAAAGCCTCAAGGAATAGCATCAAAGTAAACGTTAAACACATTATCAGTAGAGCTGGGAGGGTGGAGAAGAGACAGGTGCTAACTGGTCAGAGGGTGGAGACAGCAGGGCAGTGAAACAAAGCAGCCGGCTCACAGGTGGGTCGGCAGCAGAAAGGATGCCAAGAAGCATCAGAGGCAGTAGCAGGTTATTATTTTTCTGGCTGCATGAGCATTCAGATGCATTTATATGCACTTGCTATAATTCAACAAGCAAAAGGGGAAAAGCCCTGACATTTCTTTCAGTATTAAAAAGAAGGAATGTTAATCTTGCTCACAGAAATAAAGGTAAATGTTGAATTCTTATGTCCCATTTGACCGGATTCTTGCTATATTAGAAATGTGGGAGATTTTATAGGCTAGGCAGCATTATGTATAGCAACAGAATATTTTGTAGAAATAATTAAAAGCAGGGTCAAATATGAGAAAAGGGATATAAATTTACATGTGCACACCTCCAGCCTAGATACCTGCCAGGCAGCTGAAGTGCGAACTACTGAGGTATATACTTCTTAGTGCTCTATGGCATATCATGAGAAGTTATGCTGATGAGAGGCCAGAAGTTCAAGGATGGCTTCTAATGAACTGATCAGAGCAGGTGTTAGTTGTCCTCCTAAGTACAAGCCCCAGTGCTCAGAGACAGCAAGATCAGGTGGGTCTCCTCCAGGAGGTGCATGTATGCAGGTACTCTCCCTCTGGGCTTGTGATAAGGCTGCCTGTAGAAAGCATCCCGCCGAAATCTCATAGACATGTAGAGGTATGAGGAAATTGGGGGTGGTGCATGAGAGCAGGCTCTTGGATATC